GTTCTGGGATACATGTGCAGAATGTGCAGGTTTGTTACATAGGTATACATGTGCCATGGTGGTTTGCTGCACCCATCAACCCATCATCTAGGTTTCAAGCCCTACATGCATTAGGTGTTTGTCCTAATGCTCTCCTTCCCCTTTTACCCCACCCCCCGAAAGGCCCTGTGTATGATGTTCCCCTCCCTGTGTTCACATGTTCTCTTTGTTCAACTCCCACTTATGAGAACATGCGGTGTTTGGTTTTCAGTTCCTGTGTTAGTTTGCTGACGATGATGGTGGGAAACATTTTTAGATGACTTAGAATGGAAATGTTTAGCTCTGTAGAAACTAAAGGAAAACAAGTACCTAAGGAACGTATTCTTTATTTATTTTTATTTTTAGAGATGGGGTCTCACTATGTTGCCAAGGCTAGTCTCGAACTCCTGGGTGCAAGCGATACTCTTGCCTTTGCCTCCCAAAGTGCTGGGATTACAGGCATGAGCCACCACACCCAGCCACAAAGTGATCTGTAAAAAAGGATGGTGAGCAATGACTCTGGGAAAAGCAATCCCTGACCCTGTATGGTGAACACTGAGATGGGAAGTGGGAATCTTAGGAAGTCCCTCTAATCTGAAGGAGAAACAAAGTGGCCTCGAGAGATCATCTTCCATCCTTACTGTCCATGCCTTTCACTGAACAATAGAACAAAGGGAAATAATATTACAGTATACAGGACTTAGAGAACAGAAAGTAAACCTTCTTGAAAATTAGGACTATGGAAAATTGAAGTGGGTTATCAAAGAACACTACTAACATTAAATCTTATTCCCTGGGAAGTATTAAAAGTAGGATTGATGCCCATTTATCTGGACGCAGTGCAGGCTGAATGAAGGAAAGGTAGTTTTGCTATTGTAAGATTTCTATACCAAAGCAAGATATAACTTACAGGCTAATATGTACTACATTTTGTATTTATTTATTTTGTTTTTTTGAGATAGAGTCTTACTCTGTTACCCAGGGTAAAGCATAGTGGCACGATCACAGCTTA